CTTTCCTCTGGCCCAAATTGGAAGGTTATCCAGGAGGGTCACTACATCTGTTAGTTCGGGGGTCTGCAGCAAAACACTGCCACAGACACCTTAGCAACTAGCTGAGGCTCATTTAAAAAGCACATAGATCAGGGAAGCATGTCTGCACAATTGTGACTAATGTTATGAATGCCATCTCTGGTGGGATAACATGTGCCAAATTTGGATTAGAGGTTTACACCTTTTCTCTTTCCAGATTTGCTGCCATATTGTTTTATGAACCAAGGGTTTACCCTTGTAGTTTGTCTACAAGCCCAATCATAGCCCAATTAATAAGGTCTTCAGACCAGGCTCTACACACACAAGCAGAATCAGTGACGACCTTTGTGCTTGACGGGAGAAAAGCTTTAAAGCATGTCAGTAGCTTCAGCTGCTTGTGCTAACGCCCCCTTACATAGATAGATGTTTTTTCGATTCTTCCCACCCCCATTGCCATCCATTTGCCAATAGCAGTACCCACTTCTGCATACCTCCTTTTGCCCACCTCTTGCGCTGAACCATCACAATACAGTACAGTCAATCCATCCACTAACACCCTAGGTTTAACTTCTGGGGGTTTACACTAAACTGGTAGTAAACACTAATCTATATCAAATTCAGTTTTTGTTTGAAATTCTACCATGGGGCCTTGTAAAAGTCCTTCCCACAGAGCACATCTTTGCTTTAAAGCCTTTTGAATTTTTCTTTCCCTCGCATCGCGGACAAAATACCAACGCACAATTAGAAGGATACTTTTTTCATATGCGGAGCTAAGTTCCTCACTTTTGCTTGCAGCTAAGGTCCTTTCTTCCAGGTCGAACTTTTTCTCTGCCTGAGAGAATTCGAAGCTCATTTATTTTATGGGTTCCTTTTCCTGCCCAATCCTCACTATGGCGGTATTCTCCCCCACCTGAAGGGTTACTTTTAAATCTGTTCCTCGTATTTTACTGGCTAGAGGGCATCCCTGCAAAATTGCTTTCTGCAATTCCCCTATGTCCATTTTAACTTGGTTAAAGTCTTTTATGCTCTTTATTCCTCATGTTTAGTGGTCTTACCAGTGTGGTGTAGTTTGGTGCATAGTTACATAGTCCTAAAACACCCTGTAATTGCTTTTAGTTTGTTGGTGTTTTCACTTTTTAATTTTTCGAGGTAGCTTTCGGAAAGATAAGGCGCTATATCATGGAAACCGTATGCCCTAGGAATTCCACTTGGAATCTTCCTATTTGGCTTTTACGTAGGTTTATTTTAAACCCTGCCATCGTAAGTGCCTCCAGCACCTTTTTACTTTGTCAATGTGGTCGTTTGGGTTATCGTCAACCCAGAATAGGTCGTCCAGGTTACCCCTGGTATCCCTGTCACTGTCTGTTGTGTACATTCATTGAAAATGGATGGACTATTACACCAACCCTGTGGCATCCGATTCCATACATTTTGCTGACCCTTAATAATCCTAATAATAATCCTTGCATTTGATATAGCGCTTTTCATTGCTGTGCGCAATTGGCTGCCGCATTTGCCCACAAATATACAGTCAATTCACTTTACAGTATATTCTGTGAAGCGCATTGGGACGTCCTCCTGACGTGAAAAGCGCTATATCAAATGCAAGGATTATTATTATTATTTTCACATCTTCTAGACGTCTCAAAGCACTTCACAGAATATACTGTGAAGTGAATTAACTGTATATTTGTTGGCGAAATATATTGCACACAGCAGTATCCCACAAACAGTGGTGGACTGAGTGACCAAGCTATTAGTATTTTTTTTGAAGGGATTATTATCTCCAGGTTCTTACTTACTGCTAAGTAAACAGGCGTGTGGAGTAAGGAAACTTGCCCAACATTTCACCTTGCTGGGAATCAAACCCAGGTTTCTTGCTTGCGAGGTGAGTGCTCTAACCACTAAGCTACAGGACTCCACAGGACCCTTGAATGCAAAGGCACTTTTCCACCTATCTCCACTGGCTAAAGGCACGCTCCAAAAACATTAGCTAAATTTAAAGTGGTTTTGTATTTACCTCTAGGTAAATTGTACAATACGCTGCTGAAGTGGGTACTTTGTCCTTCAGCTTTTGCGGTCACATTATTAAGCTGTATGAAATAAATTACCATTCTCCAAGACCCATCGGGTTTTTTAACTGGCAGAAGAGGTGAATTTGTCTCAGATTCACACTTAGATATAATCCTTCGGTTTTCTAACTCATCGATTATATTTTTAAGGTCTGACATTTAATCACTCAGTAAAGGATATTGCCTGACGGGGTTGTTTCTTCCCGCGCATCGAAACCTCGCACTGAATTAAACCACGGTCTCACTTATGGTTAGCCATGCTGGCTCTAAAGCTTTGTACCACCTCACGTAAATTGTGTGTGCGTTATTTGCTTTTGCTCTACGGCATTTACATCTACGTGCAGACTATAAATTTTAACATTATTGCGATCTGCTTCCTGCAGGAAATCGCACCCGAAAATTACCTCTGAAGCTTCTTTGGGGTTGATTACAACCCTCATTTTGACTAGTTCAGTTTGTTCTACATCCTCAATTTCCACTGTCTGCTCATACATTTGGCTTAAATTGCCCCCACTCCTTGAACAACCTGCAAGGATTATTATTATTATTATTATCTGCTTCTTTCCCTGATTTTTTGGCTCTTCCCCCGCTGCATTTTTACTTAAAACCATTACCTGAGCATCTGTGCACTACAGAATTATATTTTTTTACCCTCTATTACCACAGGAATTTGGGGTCGGCTGACAAAGTTTACTTCTAGCGTGAGATTGCCCCTGTCCTCGAGCTTGTGTGAACTCCCTACTTGTCCGTTACTCTTTTCTGACCCATCAGATCTGAGTCTAGTTTGGGGACTAGTGTCCTCATTAGGAAAGTCACGTGGCCTTAACCCCACACTAAATTCTCATTTTAAACCCCTGTGGGTAGTGGTCCCATCATGCTAAGTAGTCTATTTCTATTTTCTTCACTATCCTGCTGTCTATCCTTTTCCACAAATACGTTTTCGGTATAATAGGCATGAGTAATACCGGCAATGCTTCTCAGCACGCCTCACTATCATTTCCTACTGTTCTGGCTCTAAGGGATCAACTTCTGATGCAAGCACAAACCCTCTTCGCTCTGGAATCATTTGCCATGAGGAATATTTCTCTGCATAACTCTTTGGAAAATAACTCAGTGACTTTGGAAATTGGGACCCTGAGGTGCTCCTTACCTAAAGCCCTGATCTGATCCATTTTTTTCAGGAAGCCTTTTTTCCCGGATAATTTTTTTTTAATCTCATTCAATGCTACCACTAAATTGTCCCATTCAGGATTTGTTAAATCTTTCCACTGTCTATTTATGACAGGCTGTAGGTAAATTTGAACTGCTGCTTTATTTGGTAAAGTAACTAAGTTTGTGATTGCAAGAGTAGAATATTCAGAGTCGAATCTGCATTTTCATATCAAGCATCACACCTGTTAGCAATTTCAAACCTAACACGCTTTCAATATGGGTATTAATATTCTCCTACATTTCTTCTTTACTTGCAACGTGTTTTTGTTCCCGCACGCAATTACTGACTTCATCTGCAAAATATACATTCAATTCATTTTCCAGTATATTCTGTGAAGCGCTTTGAGACGTCTCGAAGACATGATAAGGTGCTATATCAAATGCAAGGATTATTATTAAATCTTTTCTCATATTTATCTAACTGAGTGTACGTTTCTGGCTCTGTTTCTGTAACAAGAGTTTTTTTGCGGTCCCTATACATTTTAGTGGCCTGCAACCCCACTAGCACTCCAGCTGCAAGAGTCAAAATGGCTGCTTCTGCTTTTCCTTTGGTCACAACATTAAGAAATAGAAAACCCTGACAACAACAAAATTAAATTTGTTTAGTGCCTTTCACATCTAGAAGACGTCCCAAGGAGCTGGACAATCAGTGTTTCAGACCTGAGCTGGCAGTGGGTGGAGGGCAGGGGGGAAAGAGGGTGATCAAAGGCACAGTTGAAGAGCAGGGTCTTGAAGGAGGGAAGGGGCGAGGCAGAGGGACTACTGGATGAAGTTCCAGAGGGTGGGGGCAGAGTGGCTGAAGGCCCGTCCTCCAATGATAGGGTGGGCGAGGCGGGGGAAGTGAAGCAGGCCGGAGCCTGCTGAGCAGAAGGAGCGGGCAGGTTGGTAGGGGTTTAGGAAGTCACCGAGGTAGGGGTGAGCAAGGCCATGGAGGGCTTTGAAGGTGAGGACCGGGATCTTGAACTGTATCCTCTCTGATGGGAAGCCAGTGGAGTTGGGTCAGGATGGGGTTGATAGTGTCACTGAGTCTGGTGCTGTAGAGGACATGGGCTGCAGAGCTCTGGATGATCTGCAGCCTGTGGAGGGAAGAGTTTGGGAGGCCAACAAGCAAGGAGTTTGCATAGTCAAGCCTGGATGTAATGAATGCGTGTTTGAGGGTTTCGGCGGCCTCCAGTGTGAGACAGTGGCAGAGCAGAGCGATATTGCGGAGGTGAGGGAAGGCAGAGCGGGTCATGGCACGGATGTGGGCTAGAAAGGATAGTTGAGAGTCAAATAAGTCGCCAAGATTCCAGACTGGCTTAGTAAGGTGGAGTGTGCATCCATGGATGGTGATGCTGTCAGCGCCTGAGGTGAGGAGGCGCTGACGGGAGCCAATCAGGAGAGCCTCGGTCTTGTTGACGTTCAACTGAAGAAAGTTAGCTCTCATCCAGGACTTGATATCTGACACTAATTATGGCACTAGCGGCTTTACCCAAAGTTAGTAAACTAAGTTTGTGTCTTCAAGGCAGTACTGCTTTAAGTTATATTTTCGGTCCCTGGACCATAATTATGCTAAATGCAAAGCGGCTTATTTCAACACAAGCTGTCTATACACATATTATGTTAACAGCAAATATTATTAGAACGAGGTAGAGCATTAATAAAAACAAGGTGTCTGTGACTATTCCCATTTAATTTTTTTTNGTCCCCCTTTTGCAGAGTGCTGGGTTTGAAACTTTGACTGATGAATTGTGTGTCAAGCTGAAAGGCCGACATAACGAAAGTGGTAAGTGGTTTAGCAGAGCTTGTGGGAAATTATCTGTGCTACTGCTGGTCCTCTGTTTCTGTCAGTGTTCTCTAAGGTTGTGTAGTCCAAAGAAGTATTAATATGCTCCCTTTATCACATATCATTGTTTCTTACTGTAGAATAAAACCTGCATTCCAGGGTTTTTCTTTTCCTCCTTCTTCCACCCTCCCCCCATCAAAACAAATGAAGTGAATGACCAATTTTATCTGGGGGATTGTTGGCTATGACACTGGGAGAGAAGTTTCCTTCTTTATGGAAGTCCAATGATTAGGATGAAATTAGTCATCCTAATCCGTGGCTGTTTGTGAGAAGATTCTGTGGCAAATTGGCTGCCATGTTCGCCGACAAAATACAGCCACCACACATTACTGTAATTGCTGTGAAGCGCTTTGAGATGTCTCAACCTTGTGATAAAGTCTCACGGGGCCTGCACCCAAGTAATAATAACAACAGTTGTCCAACTTAAGGAGCTTGAAGGCCGGTACGGGTGAAAGCCATTTCTACTTCCAGTAACCTGAGGTTCAGTGAGACGTTCTATTAGCTCACAGTCAGCCATCGATGACTTTAAAGCAGGTTATAGAAATTGGACTTTCAGATGTGGGACACGATTGCTATTTATTTTTGTTTGTACTTTGCCAAGTGAAAACTTTCATTCTGTTGCTTTTTCCCAATCAGGTATCAGCCATTACATGATTCTCTAGAGCAATCACGTTCAATTACCCACTGTAATTCGCATGTTGTAATATTTAGAAGTAGGTTATGTAACCTTTCCAACTGATCAGCAAATGATTTACCCACTTTAGGTGCTTTTATCCACCCATCAAGATCTGCATCTAAGCTGAAATAAATACTGTGTATTTGTAGAATCTGGGGTGGGGGGGGGGCGTGTACTTTGCTAATAAATGTTGTCACGATTCCTGTGTTCTGAACGTTTTGGTTTTTTAATCTAACAGAAGAGGCACGAGAAACTGATTGCTATCCAGTCTACAAACAGCAAGAGCTGAGGCAAAAGGGTGAGTATTACTGGCTTTTCTGCTGTTCTAATCGATTGCTTTTCGTTCCTTATCTAGCCCAAAAAAATTAACTTGTTAATCTCTCTCCCTCACACACCCACAGAACATACACACCCGCATCTTGCCAGAGTCTTAATTGTAATAATTTTTTTTAAATGCTGAGGGCGAGAAATTGTGGCACTGAGCTGAGGAAATTATTTGGTTTGAACTGCAGTGTGGACTGAGTTTGCTGTGTGTGCGTTTGTCTCTCTCTGTCTCTCTGTGTTTCTCTCTCTCTCACTTTGTGTCTTTGTGTGTCTCTCAATTTAATATTGATGACATTCTTATTTTTAGGTATACCTTTCCACTACCAACTGAGAAGATTCCTTCATTGTCCAAAAGCACTGGGAAAAGTCCAAAGTGTTTCTCTAAAATAAGTTCCTACGTGGACTGCACACTTCAATTGAACAGCAAAGCAGAAAGTTGCAGTGCAAGATCAAAGTCTGACTTACCAGTACAATTAAACCCTGATCATTTTTCCACGAAAAGGAAAAAGGAAAAGAAAATGATGCAAAGTATATCGGGGCTAGAGAAGGCCAAATCAATGAAGAATAGTTCTGTCCCAGCACCGATCCATTCAAGTTCAATTTCCTCTGACTCCAGTGAAACCGAAATGGACCTGTGCGAAAATGCGGAGGCCTTGAAAGCTTCTAAAGCTTTGCCAGCCCAAGGCAAGAGATGGGTGGGGGATAGAAACCGAACTCAAAAGGACGGCCAAGCCAGGCCTGCTGATAAAGCATTAAAGAAGAGTTCTGGCAACATCAGTGGACTCAGCAAGCAACGGCAGAATAAGAGATGGAAGAAGGCTGCGAAAGGTGGAAGCAAAAGAAATGCAGATGGGAGCCCTGCTACGGACATGAAGCTTAAAGACAGAGGGCAAGAGTTTAAGGAAGAGGCTCAGTGGTACACCGACCCACTTACAGATAATATAATGTCCAACAATTCAAAAAGCAAGTTAGAGACTGCTTACAAGAGCCGCTTAAGTTCATTTACTGATACGGACCTATTAGAAAAATTGCCAGCATCAATTAAAGATCTGTGTATTGATGATAGTTATTCCACAGACTACCTCTTGACCGGTGCATTTGTTGACGGTCACTTTGTTGACATCCCCACGTTACTTGATGAAAAAGAATTCAGTGAAATTTTAGATTGCTCTCGAACAAAGTCGGACTCATTGGATGGTCTGCAGAAATCAGTGGAGCTCTTCTGTGAAGGAGACATTAATCAGTCAGCACTCGATTCGAGTGCGTTTGACTTGAAGCAAGACAGTGGAATCGTAAACTTCACCGCAAGCAAAACTGAAGAGCTCGAAGAGGAATGCAGTATAATATTGGACGGATTGTCATTGCTAGATGAGAATAGTATATGGGAGGATGGCCCAACAGTGAGTAGGGTGGAATCTTTAGGATCTCCGTTGAGTGTACCATGTCCAGATCAATTCGCCTCTGACCAAGTCAGATTTTGGTTGTCATCTTGTGTTCCAGCCAGCGTTGATGAGACTGTAGCACCCTCATTCTTCAAGAATGACGCCTTGTTGCCTGTGCAAGATAATGGTTGGAAAGGTCATTACGAAATCAGTTTTTCTGCCTTAAAAGATCAGTGCGATAACTGCGTGTTTTCTCCTGGTAACACAAACAGTTGGGAAAGTGACTCCCAGAAAGGAATGGTTACTTTAGAACCAACTCAATCTCATGCACTAGTTTCTACTGAAGGCGAGATCCCTGTTGAAATTAATTCCAGTTTCAAACCCACATTTAAGGATGACTGGTCAGGCTTGTGTGAAACGCAACCAGGAGACTTAATGGACCATGTAAGAAACATTGAATCAGAAACCTTTCCTATTGAGCTGAACATGGCTGCTTGCATCGCCACAGCTTGCTCAGAAGATGACCTGCTCAGTCTGCTTCCAGGTAGCGAGTATCTACAGTTGGATGATAGTCTCTTAGTTGAGTTTCAAGTTGAGCGTACAGTCACGCCCCCGAAAGACAAAGCGGACGTGGCAAATCCAGCTGTGCAGCTTGGTGACGCGGAAGCAAAGAAGTGGGGTTCGATCTTTGGAATCTGTGAAGAGAACCTTTTTGAAAACACTGACGACTTAAAATCAAGAGCTATCGAAAAAATATGGAAAGTAGCTCCTGACGAGGACAAAGCCGCATTGCCAAAAAGCATAACAAAGGTCACGGGTTGCCAGACTTCCTTAGGCACAGAGTTGCCTTTAGAGGAATCTGTTGTTTCAAAGCTGCAGGACAATCTGGTCCAGAAATCCGAATGTAATTTCTGGGAGGAAAAAAGGGGAATAACGGAGCGTTTGGGCTCTATGGACACAGTGCTGGCAGCAGATGGCAATGAATGGGAACCTAATTCTAAGGAGACGAGAGCTCCAGTCACAGGAGGAGTGGAGCAGCTGTTCGCTCAGAGTAATGTGAGGAACGAGGCGTTCTCTCCATCAGATGGTACAAATCTGAAATCTGCCCCCCCATATAGTACAACTGGGCAGCCCAGCAGTCTTGGTGGTGACGAAAAGTCTTCAACAAACTCTAGTGTTGAAAATGTAGAGAAGCAGAGTAAGAGCAATGTCATACCTGTCGTGTTACCTGAATGTTTATGGGGAAGTTTAAGAGATATCCTGGACGACTCGAGAGAGTCTAGCGATAGCTTTCCCCACTTTGAGCTTGGTGCTCCAATTGCAAAAGAACAGAGCCCGTCAGGCTCGCTGGATTACAGCAGTATTGACCAAGTGAACGCACTGTCCAGGACTATCCCCAAATTCTGTGAAAATGTCACACGGTCAAGCGGCGAAGGGTTACAGAGTGCATCATTGCCTCAGGATTACTCTACCTCTGAGCAAACACCAAGCAGGTTTTGTGGTTCAAAGTCTGAGGGAGATAAAGGGAAATCTGAGTGCCATATTATTGCCAATCCCAGCCTCATTAAAGAGGGTCTCCCTCAAACGACGGAATTCCAGGCAACAAAATATAAAGAGACCGGAATGGACAAAGGCAGTCGAGCAACTCGGGAAACTGATAAAGATCTGCTGAACACTGTCCAGTTAGGGCTCCAGGCTCTAGATCTGGAAAATAATGGAAACGTGGCAGAGAAAACTCAGGCAAATGTTTCTGAGTGTCAAGATAGAACTTTTTTGAGAGGAGGTGATGGCGCCCAGCAGGAGCTGCAGATGTGCAGAGGAACCCAAAATGAGCTAGAGCCATGCAAGCCAAGCTGTTCTGTCTCACATCAACATTCTGAGGTATGTATCCCCAAATTACACCATTTCTGGGAAACGGTTTGAATTGAATTTGTCAGTGCACAGTACAAGTAAACATTTGGGGATTTGTATGCAGGATGTCGTTTTGGTATCTAATATACAGTAATGTACACACTACGTGGAAAGGGAAGTATTTAGTTTCTTTGTGAAGAATCAAGGACAATTGTCGCATGTGAAGTAATGTGTGTTGCATCTTTCCACGTGATGTGTTCTGTCTTTGGTTCTGATCTGGCATGGCATGGTCAATATAAAGTGTCAGAGAGGGTGTGGACTGTCATACATTCATTGCCAGGAACTGGAGTCCAGTCTATGACACTTTACCTCAGAATTGTTATCAGAATCATTTGGGATATTTCCTCATCCTTAGTATATAAGTTTAAGAAATAGCCATAAACAATGCAAGTTGTTGTAAAACTGCTCAAGTTTCTGTTACTCATAGTGTCAGATACGTAGAGGAGCAGAGATATCCTGCTGTATTTTTTGTATTCACAGTTAGCTACAAATGACTAGAAGGAGATTTAGACCCAATGTGTAGCTTATTTACTCCATAAACTGAGAAATATCTAGGTAAGTGGTGACCAACAAAGTAAATGTTTCTTCATGAATATTTCTTGATTCGTGGCATTGTTGGTTGGCCGGGATGCTACCCGCATGAAGGGCGCTATATAAATGCAAGTCGTTGTTGTGGGCTAACAAAATAAATGTTTCTTAATTGAATATTTCTTGATTTATGTCATAAATATATAAATGCAAGTTGTTGTGTTAATTGCAGATTATCTCCAGTTCCAAAAAAGTATCAATCTATTTTACGCAGATTTCCCCAGCCCAAGCAAGGAGCCACAAGGAGAACGATTGTCCCAAAGGCTCAAGCTGCCAGGTCATAAACAACCAGGAGAGGTCAGCCTCGACCTTTTCAGAAAATGCAGGTTGGTGCATCTTTGAAATTGGTGGTATCTATTTTGTATTTCAATATGTACATCTTGAGGGCTGTCAATGCAGAAGTCCTGGTGGTTCAATGCTTCACCCTCTTTATCTATCTTTAAATCCTACCCAAAGACCCACTTCTTCGACCGCTTATGGTCACCTTCCCCTTCTCCCTACTTTAAGACCAATTTCACTTTGATGAGCTCTGTGTCCAATTGGTGTAATATGGTTATGTGGTTTAGTGTTTTAAAATACAATATACTTTTACATTTATACAGTGCCTTTCACGTCCCAAAGTATTTGACACTGCTTGACACATGCTTTTATTCTATAAATGGACACCACTTGTGTATTTTGCTAGCTGTAAAGTCTTAACACTCCTGTTCAGACATGTGGGTAACACTATGGTTTGTTTTTAATCAAAGGCAGTTACCTCTTCTTACTTTTGAGTTTTGCATGTTCATAGATCTCTGTCCAAAATTGCCCTCTGTTGTTCACACAAACTGTTCCATTAATTTGCTTAAAATGCCACTGTTTAAACATAAGTTTATTTGTTGCAATGCAGATTGTGTATGCAGCAGAACGTCCAGTAATCGAGTAGCATGCTCGGATGCCAAACATCAAGAAGAGCCAGAGGTAAGCCTTACGTTATTTTAGAAAGAGCATTTCCCTCTCAGTGCTTTAAATCTTAATGTCGTAGCGTTGATTCCAGAAGTGATTGTTGAAACCACAGCTTATCTTGCTTGGCACAATATAACAGTTCACTGTAACAGGAGTAAATAAAATGTCAGTGAACTCTTAATCAAAAAAAGTGACTAGTTTTGTTTAAATTGTCGTTTTTTGAGGTCTTACAATGGCTGTCGGTAGAGCCATTCATTGCCTTAAGCCTGTAAATAAAGTAAAAATCCTTTGAAGTGCTTTAAGGCATGTCGATGGCATGATAAGGTGCTAAATCAAATGTACGTATTATTATGAAGCTATTACTATAGACACCAAGAAGATGCCAGTTTGCTCTCCCATCAGTACTACGTTGACTCTTATCAGGAGAGTTGGTGAAGTTGAGCTCAGTATCCCTCAGCTTTGGAGTGTGTATGGTGGAGTTGGGGAGCCTGCTTTTCTGTTGCTTGTCATCCAGTGACCCCTGCTGGAAAGCTCACGTGTGTGCATATATATAGTGCGAGTAGGGTCAGTCTCTGCTCCGATGCCCTCCACAAACTAGTAACCTGCAACCCTCGCTATATTTGGAACTGGAAGATGCTCTGGAACTCCCTTCTTCACTCCCTTCGCCTCCTCCCCTCTCTTCCTACTTTCAGGTCTCGGCGAAAGACCTTTCTTTTCGACCGTGCCTTTGGTCACCTTCTTCCCCCTCCCCCGACTCAGTTCTGGGATCCGTTATTGTGAAGCGTTCTGAGACGCCATCCGGCATGGAGGGAGTTATATAAATCCAAGTTGTTGTTGTATTTGGTTTCATGTGGGTGACATACCAGAGCACAACCACAACCCATTGCAGCCTGACATCACTACCTTCAGAGCAGGGAGAAAATTTAGTTGGAGGAAAACGTTCAAATATTTGATCGATATAAAAGCAAAGATGACTAAGAACTGTTACACTGTTTAATTTTAAGTGTGCTATGTGGAAGTTTTTGTGTGTGTGGGAGTGGGCTGCAAAATATAGAATACAAGATTGAAGATCCCAATTTAAACACATTTGGAATTTTCTGTTCTTAAGCTTAATGTGTACTGAGAGCTGGAATGCTTAATAAAAATAGCTTTGTTGGCTTCCCCTCTTCATGACTTAGCAACACCAACTTACATGTAAATAAACATCTCAAAGTGCTTGAAAGATGCAATGGTAAGGTGCATGCAGGGAAGGGGAGATTGAAGATGTTCTTTCACTGAAGCCATAATAATCCTGGCATTTGATACGGCTCCTTTCATGTCGAGATGGCGTCTCAAAGCACTTCACACAATTTACAATAACATGTTATGACTGTATTTTGTAGTTCATGGCTGAAACCCAAACACTTTGCAGTGACAACATAAATAACCCCAGGTGAGCTCTGGGGTGCGAGGAATTCATAGAATTGTTTTTCTGCATCGGAGAGTCTGAGTGCTTCTATATTTCTTGCAGCATTCGAAACCAGAAGACCGCGACACAGACCACAAAATGTATAGAAGTACGGAGGAATATAAAACGTAAGGCTACACAGAAGCCATCCTGCTTGTACAAAGTTGCCATTCCGTTCATTTGCCCTCACCAGACAGAACAACTTCCACTAAAGTGAACGGTTCATCAATGGGAAAAAATCAACCTCATAACTCTACAATGTTGCCTTGCCTTCTCACGGCATCTTCAGATCAATGTGGTAATAGCTAAAAATAAACACTAATTTGTTGTCTATTGAGGAACCTGTGGCGGTTGGCAGTTCCTGATCAGTTTGACCATCTACAAGGGTTCATCAGATCGTCTGTCACAACTGTGTCCGGCATTCCTCAGCCCTGTGATTTGTTTTACTAGCGCTTATTCAAAACTGGCTGACGCTAACATTTATGGGAAGTAGATGTGGCTGAGCTTTGTTCTGCAGGAGCTGTGATGGATCCATGTGCTGAGAGAAAATGCAGTTATTAGCCAGAGCAAAACCCAATCTGATAAGCCACTAACCACCCGGCTCCAGAGTCCGTCGACCGGGCAAGTGGTATGTCTCAGCATTATTGCTGCAGTAGTTATATAAAAAAAATCGCTCTGACTTACGGCGATTGATTTGTGGGTCTTTCACAATTCCTTCAAAAACTTTCACATTGCAATGTCGCACGTATGTTATCCTTTATATATTCCGCTACTAAAATAAATAGTGAACGGGTAGAGTGCTTACTTAATCCTCCTTTAGTCCTGCTCTTAAGAGTGTAAAACCCTGAAAATGTTTTCTTTGCATTAGTGTTTTTAAAAGGGTGTGTTATGGCGTGGCGTCGTCTGTCATTTTAACCAGGTTACATTTGAGTAATGTGTTCCTTTTTATATCTGTGACTGACAAGGTGAAAACGCTTCACTTTAATTTTCGTGATAGTCATTTGAAAATCGTAGATTTTTTTTTGAAAAGCATTTTTAAACTTGTAATTATGCCATGAGCCTATCTATAGAGTGCAAATGGTAGCTTCACTCACACGTGTTTTTACTGATCTTAAATTTAAAGGGTCAAAATTGGGAATATTTTGTAAACTGAAGTCCTATTGCCCATTTGAAATTGGTTCCGCAGTCGACTCAAACAGTGAGATTTCGATTATATTTGTAGCGTTAATTTTAGCAGAAACGCTAAATGATTTGACTTAAATAATTATGTGAGGGGAAAATGAGATTGTACCTTGCTAATTAGATCAAATAACGTGAGTTACTGCAATTTATAATAGGGGCTGCCTATCTGTCCAGTTGTGTGTATTCTAGATGACCAGCACCTCTACTTGTTTTTATTTGATAAAGTATAAATGGTGCTTATCTGCTTCGCAAGACAGGTGGCTTGTCCAAGGACCATTTTAGACACGAGCGTAAACCAGTAATTGTGCATGGTTCAAGGGTATAGAAGGGCCTTTTTTCCTCCTGGTTTGGTTTAGTTTAATTGAACCATATTCAGTGACAGTTGCTAGTGCCTTTTTTTCATTTTAAATTTTCATGAAATGTTTTGTGTTGTCTGGGATTAAAGCCTGCATGTTTGGCGGTAATGCCGTGGAGCGGGTAAACTGCATATTTATAATTTTTCTCCCTGAATACAACATCAATTGCATTTATGTAGCGCCTTTCACATTGGGGGGAGGGGTTGGTCGTCCCAAGCACTGGAATGCATGACTTACATTGGTGTCTGGTCATGTGTGAGACTGACCACCTCAGTAGGCAACTTGACTATAGTTGAAACGATGAGGCATCATAGCGCATAGATGAACACTCTTCTTGCCCCCATGTCCACATACTTGTGGGGGGGGGCATTGGACTCCATTTAGGAGCAGCAACCCTGGATTGTACTTGTGATTTTTTTCCCCCTCTCCAAGCCAGGGGCTCTCTGAAACCAATTGCTACACAACCTCCAATGCCCTGGCTGAGATCAGGATAGATCTGTTTGGATCCAGGAAGTCTTCCTGTATGGCTTGGGTGAGTTACACTTAATATGATTAGTATTTTACAGTATTAGTAGCTGTTATTTATACATTTTTACAAATATTTGATTGTGTAAAGGTAAGAGCTAGCCAAGAACTTAATAACAACCGTGCTTCATTACTTTATAAAATGTCCTGGTGAAAGTTTTGAAATTTATTAGATACTATTACTGACCAATTTTTGGATTCAATTTGATGGGGGGCAAGATTTCCCTGAATACAGTATCCACAATGGATAAAATTTTGAGCCAAACTAGTCTTACTTTTTAAATCTGGTATGAGAATAGGCAAGGGCATTTATCAATGCTCCGTGCACGTTGGAAGTAGATGAATCTGTGCAGGAAGATTACAATATGGATCTCTGTAATCATGACCCAAGATTAGTTTTCAGACGCATTCATACTCTTAGTTGATGAGAGAGGGAGAGATGTGTTCTTTGTAAGTTGCTCAATAAAAGTCTTCAAATATGGTCCTCAATTTGGTTTTCTAAGAACGTAGAGGCACGGAATGAACAAAAGGCCATTGGGCCTGTCCAAGCTCACTTCCTTCCACCGCATTTCTTTCAAATGCTCCAACTAAAGAACTGTCTTTGCCAAAAAGTTGCTTTCTGAAATTTGTTTTGTAACGTTGTGCTGAAAGAATATCATAGTCATGGATTCTGCATCAAGTAGCATCATTATTACAAATGCATAATCTGATTGATTTTTATATCTTTAAGGCATGGGGCTGGTTTTCTTCTATTATCATTTTAATTTTCAATGTATTTTTATCGGACATTGTTTGTCAACATTTTGCATAACCCAAATAAAATCAAAAGTGTTAAATAATGCAAACAGTTGCGGTTGTCTTCATTTTTTGTTGTGAAGAATCTACCATTGTTCCTATAGCAATACAGAAATGGGAATCAACATAATGGGCAAAAGTTCATTATAATAAATCCACATATTTTACAACCCGTGATGCTCAATTAACACATGCTTACATGGTTCATGTTTGTGAGGGAGTGAGCAGTATAATGGTATAATGATCAATATTTAAGGCTCAGATTATTGCTGAAATTCAACCAGCTAAATCCCACATACATAGCCTGTCATTTGAGACTTTCTTGCAAGGTTCCCGCTGCTTGTTCAGCTGGAACTCTCCTACCCATTCAGACTGTGGCCAGGAGTTATGTAGGAAAAAATACTACCCTTCCAAATTCTACCATTATGACTGTTTGTGGGATAATGTGGTGTGCAATTGACTGCCGCGTTCTATACGTTCTATTTGCCCACAGGATACACAATCACTACACTTTACAGTATATTCTGTGAAGCACTTTAACACGTCTCAATGACGTGATAAGCCTCTATATCAAATGCAAGGATTATTATTATCAATTAGCCAGGGTAGCCGGTCTGTCAGTAGTACCTCCAGAGGATTGACTAAATTCAGACTTTCCCATGCCAAACACGTTCAATCCCACGGAGACCCCGCTTACCTCCCTCCTAAAACCAAATTTATAAATACTTCACATAAAGTATGTCCTACATTGTGTAACAGCCAGTAAGACAAAGCTGAGGAACTTCCTACAATACTTGCATAGACAAAAGATGCTTTGAATATTTTTGTTTATACAAGGGAGATTGAGAACAATAGTTGCCTATGTTTTCAAGCGAGCAGTTACAAAACGTTACTGGCACTGCAAGGGGGGAAAACTAATAAAAACATTTGCTTTTCTTTTAAGGTTTATTTAAAAAGTAAAAACAGTTGCAAATTGTATTGAGGCTGGATTAATTGATCTTGTGGAAATGCAAGAAAGTAACTTTCTTTCTTAGAGAGAGAAATTCCCAGGGCAAGCAATCCCAGCTAACATTATCCACTTTCTATTGTTGGAAATGTGTTGTGCTTCTTACTAACACCTTTTAGCATCATTTTCAAGGCAGACTTGGCCTCTGAGCCAGGGCATCATGTATACCCTCTGGGGAGACCTGGGAAGAAAGCAAAGAGGTGTACATGTACTTCCCCACTCATCTATCAAATTAATTCTTGTATTGCAAACCCTCAAAACATTCTGGGGATGGGGAGAGAATAGAAACAATTTACACTTACATAGGACCCTTGACGCGGTGTAGCATCTAAAAAGGAATATACCATGCAAGAAAGGAAGAACAAACATTATTCATAACTTGTTGAGTTGAAACAAATGCATATTACAGTAATGTCTATTTTTATGGGTAAACCTGGCCACGATTAGGCACTCAATAAAGTCCCCTAAAACCACCATGAAATAAATGATCACTATTGTAAGGATTGCTCGCCAGAACACCAGGAGAAACTTCTTTTAATAGTTTCATAGGCAGCTGAAGGTAGGGATCTCAGTGTAACTTCTCATCTGGTGGACTGACCTCGAATAAATACATTGGAAGACATTAGCTTTCACCAGACAGAATTCTCACTCCACTACCTAAGAGGATAAGAAAATTGACCTTTTGCAGAATTTGAGTCTATTTGCATTTAACACATTTGAATATACATTCAGAATGTTGCTAGTTGTACTTCACAAACTGTATAATATCATTGTCATGCACTGGAAGGGAAAAACATTTAGTAAATGGATATCTTTTATCAACTTTTCATAATGTTTGTAACAATATTGAAGAATTGTAAAACCTGCACAGACTTACACTTTTTCTAAAAAAAAGTAAATTAAATATTTTGTTCTCTGAAGCAGTTTGCAATTAAAAGGGTGTATTTTGTAACTTAACGAGTGATGTCAACCAGAGAGACAAATTCATAGATTCATAGAATGTTACTGCACTGAAGGAGGTCATTCGGCCCATCGAGTCTGTGCCGGCTCATTGACAGAGCAAATCACTTTCACTAACCCCAATCACCAGCTTTCTCCCCATAACCCTACAAACCCGTCTTCCCCAGATACCTATCCAGTTCTCTCTTAAAAGCTGTTATCGAATCGGACTTCACTACCCTTTCAGGCAGATCATTCCAAATTCAAACAACTCGCTGAGTGAAAACATTTCTTCTAACCTCCCCTCTGCTTCTTTGGGTAGATATCTTAAGACTGTGACCACCTACCAGCGGAAACAGCTTTTCCTTATCTAGCCTGTCAAAACCTTTCATGATCTTGAAGACCTCTATCACGTAACCTTCTCTACTCCAATGGGAAAAGTCCTAACTTCTCCAGCCTGTCCTCATAGCTAAGGTTCCCCATTCCTGGTATCATTCTCGTGAATCTCCTCTGCACCCTTAGTGTCCTTAGTGTCTTAGTGTCCTTCCTGAAGTAAGGTGCCCAGAACTGGACGCAGTACTCCAGCTGAGGCCTAACCAGTGTTTTGTATAGATTAACCATAACCTCCCTACTCTTATACTCTATGCCCCTATAATAAAGCTCAGTACACCAAATGCCTTTTTTACTGCCTTATCTACCTGCCCCGCTACCTTTAATGATTCGCTTACTTGAACACCCTGCTAGTCTTACTTGCCAGTCCACCAACTCTAGGTCCCTTTTTAGCCCATCAAAATTAGCCCTTTTCCAGGCAAGCATTTTCACCCTTGACTATATTTTCACCCTTGTCCCTGTTCATGAGTAATCTAAATCTAATAATATTATGGTCACTGTTACCTAGATGCTCCCCAACCGAAACCTGTTCAACCCGACCTATTTCATTCCCCAGGACTAGATCCAGCAATGCTTCCTTCCTCGTAGGACTGGAGAAATACTGCTCAAGAAAATTTTCCTGTACACAGTCTATGAATCTTTCTCCTGCCTTGCCCTTAGCGTTGCTATTTTGCCAGTCTATATTGGGATAATTGAAATCCCCCATTATCACAACTCTGTTCGCCTTACATCTATCCGCGATCTGGTTGCAGATCTGCTCCTCTATCTCCTTCCCGCTGTCTGGTGGTCTATAGTAAATCCCTATCAGTGTAACCACTCCTTTCTTATTTCTTATCTCTAACCAGATGGATTCTGATGTCGGGCCCTCCAGAGCCTCGTTCCTTTCTACAGCTGTAATTGTATCCTTAACTAATATTGCCACCCCTCCTCCTTTTCTTCCTTCTCTATCCTTCCTGAACACATTATATCCTGGAATATTTAACTCCCATTCCTGGCCTGGCTTGAGCTATGTCTCGGTTACTGCCACCACATAGTAACCCCCTACGGCCAGTTGAACCTGCAGCTCATCAACCTTATTCCCTACGTGCATTTAGGTACATGCATTTGAGGAAATTGTCCGCTTGTACCTGCTTTACACTTCCCACTTGTCTTTTTCCTCTAATCTCTAATCCATTGTTTATCCTGGATACCCAACCCCCCTCGACACTGGTTTAAATCCGCCCCTACAGCATTTGATAATCTGTTGGCAAGGAAGCTCACCCCTGCCTTGCTTAAGTGTGCCCATCCTCAAGGTAAAGATCCCACCTCCCCCAGTAGTGGTCCCAACTGTCCAGAAAACGGAAACCTTCTTTTCCGGACCATTTCTCCAACCAATTGTTCATGCGCCTGATCCTTTCATTATGGTGCCTTGTTGCCCGAGGTACCGGGAGTAACCCAGAGATGAACACCTTGGATGTTCTGGACTTGAGTTTGCTCCCCAGCTTTTGATACTCGCCCTGGAGCATCTCAGCCCTCTTCTTACCAATATCGTGGGTCCCCACCTGGACCACAACTTCTGGACATTCTCCTTCCCCCCGAAGAATCTTGTCCATGCACTCTGTGAAGTCCACTACCCTTGCACCAGAAAGGCAGCAAACCATCCTAGCCTCACAATTTTGATTACAGAAGATCCTGTCAGTGCCTCTTACTGTTGAATCCCCTATCACAACTGTATTACCCTTGTGAACCATGCCCTAGCCCTGTTGGACAGAATGTCCATTACTGTCCTCACACGAGAGGCTTCCACACTCTCGATAGCTAATGTAGTTAACCAATGTAGTTACCATCAGATAGCTTGGGGTTTACACTGTGTTTAATATCTATTTATAAACTTGATCCACACTCGGATTGAGGTCAGGTCTGTGGGGAGTTTGTTAACTTTCTCCCTTCTGTGGACAAACAAGGAATAGCAAGTGACATGCGATTTCCAGATAAGGAATGTGACAAACTTATTCTTCTGTTTTGCAAAAAATTAAACACAATTCTGTTATTAATACAATAAAAAAAAGTGAAAAGCAATGGGTCAAATAAACTTGCATTTGATAATTTTCACTCGGGAGAATGTTTCAAAGCACTTCACAAGGATTTACTGTAAAAGTCGTGCAGGAAGAGAGCACCAAAAAAACTTCAAATTCCCCCAGTTCAATTGCTTTTTCACAGTGACAATAAACACTTAGTTAAAAATAATCAGGTGGCATGGTACAGATGCACTTTTTCCAGTCAATCAAAATTGATTGGAATCACAAGATGCAAAATGCTTGGACCATCCCCTCCCTGAAGCTGGTCTTCGAGACCCAGAGCGGATCAAGGGGACATACAGAAACCGTTATACAGATACTGAAAATACAGAGAAAAGCAAGCGGGGAAAGGAAGACACTGGTTCAACACAAGGGAAATAGAGCTTAGAAGTAGACCAGCAGAGTCACTTAAACAACATTACAGTGAAATGTGTTAAGATTTGAAACCATAAGTTAGTTTCCAATTTAATGCTTCTCTATCTCACCTTCCATTCCCTTCCTTTTCCACCCGCAATTCCTCTCTTGAAAGCACTAACTTTTGCTGGGAATAGTTATTATTATAATAATAATCCTTGCACTTGATATAGTGCCTGCCACTGAGACGTCTTAAAAGCACTTACAAAATAATAAATAATAATCCTTGTATTTGGTATAGTGC